AGTAGTTTCAATATGGAAGAAGGCGGAAAGGTTAGTTGTCACTTTGTGAGTGCACCTTTTTTTCCTGTTATCGGTATCTAGAGCGGCTCGATGATTGTAAACGAGAATGAGACGAGGGCCGAAGGCATTTCGCACTTGGAAAGAGCAGTGTAAGTTGATTGCAAAAATCCTTTCATCATTGAATACAAATTCGTTCTGTTTTTGCAATGAACCTAAGAACAGCGATTAACTAGTAGAACGCGTTATTTATTAACAAACATTCCATCCGACACAAACTGCCTCGCATAATGTTTGGCTGACCAGTGATTTTTTGTCCATAAGATAAATATCTCGGAAATATTTATATTACATTAATTTCAGAAGTTTTCTATGCGCCATGATTTCGGGACTGTTTTACGGATCAATGTGGACTCCAATCAGCTACATGAGGGTCATCCTCTTTGAGCAGTTTGCTGAGTGAACTGTTTCTATCCTAAAAATCTAACTTATTCCCGTTTCAGAGTCATCCGGACAAATTCCCCGACGCTCCAGCAGACAGCATTTCTTACTTGTTCTCATACTACTGCGGTGGGCTCTGCATTGCAGTGTGTACTTTCATCATCTACTCTCTGATAAAGTTGGCTCTATTTAAGAGTTTGTATTCAGTGTAAATATTAGCCATTTTAGCCACTTCCAGGAAGAACAAGCCATGGATCAATCCGAGCGGTGCTGTTCCTACGATGCTGGGTGGCGCCATATTTTCTATTGGAATGAGTGCATTCGTCACTGCTATTGATATGTTGGATCAAGCGATTGCATATCCAATCTGCGCAATGGCACCAGGCTTGGTTGTATCAAGCTGGAGCATCTTTTACTTCAAGGAAATCACAGTGAGATTAAAGTTCCCAGCCCAAAGTGCCTGATCTCTTACTATCCACTTCAGGGTCGACGAAATTTGATTTGGTTGACAACTGCTTACGGACTTACTCTGATCGGAGTAATGCTAATAACCGTCTCAAAAGAAGTTTCTTTAGTTTAGTTTTGTTCGGAAGTAATAAAACTCGCCTGCACTTGGTGCTCAAAGGCATGTTATTTGATTCATTTCACAATTGATTCATGTAATTCAATGTGTTTATTGGAATTTCAAATACTATTGGTATGGAGCGATTAGATACTAACAAAGCACAATTGCTTACTTACAATTAG